TTTTCAAAATAAAACATCTTTCGTATTCCGAAATAAATAAAACGGAATTAAGGCAAGTTCTTTCTGTGCGGCCCGGTACCAAATGCCCGGCGGACCGGTACCGGTCCGCGGACCGGCGGTTGGGGACCCCTGCTTTAAACAATCGTTGAATGAAGCATTTTTCTTGACTTTTTTTACATGGTTTCAGTCATAACGGCCCTGCAAGGAAAACGGTAACTAAAATGTGGCCCGCGACAAAAATGAGTTTGACACCCCTGCCTTAAGCCCTCCATTCCTCAGATCCAGTCACCCCCGCACCCCGCCCAACCCCTTCCAGTCTAATAGCAGAAAATATCAAAAGTCTCCATGGTGTGTGTCAAAACACGTGCCGAATCCACCTCCACACTTTCAGGGTACTCTCGAGTTTGCAGAAACTTCGTACCAAGTCCCAAAATATCACTGAGCTGGCAACCGGTCGAACAGAGTTCCGTGACATGCGAGCTGTTTGCCATGCTGGTACTGGTGTTTGTATTTATGAACTACCTGGATGTGAATATGATGTATATAGACAAAGAGTTGGCGTGAAAGCGCTTCTACTGAGAGTACAGAGAATTCCTAAATCTAGATTTTACCCGTGTTGCATATACATATATCTATATCTATATCTATATAAAGTATTTCTGTCAAACTATTTTGGCTACCCTTGTTATTGCTTTCAGGTTTTACAGTGTAATGGTATGCTTTCTCCTTCGCGGTCTAAAAGCAAAATATTTGAAGATTAAAAAATGAATTGCCTTGTGGACAGACTTCACCTCATGGCATGTGATGCAATAGTGAGACGATCGAGTTTCTAAGGGTGAAACCAAATGTAACCCAACGTTTCCCATGCTTGTCTCTTTTGTTTTGGTTTTTTTGCTGTTCCTTGTAAAGAAAAAAAAAAGTTTTTCTTTGGTGTCAATGTCTTCCGTTGTACATAGAACGCGATGCTCTCTATTGTCACACGAAAAATTATTCTAACGATTTATGGAATCTGGTGTTCATTTATTGTTTTGATCTGTATAGATGGTGCAGAGTGACCTCAATAAATCATTTATTTAAACCGCTTTGACTGCTTCCATTGTTTTTTTTTTTCATGTCCCCCCCCCCTACTTCCAATAATGATTGGAAACATGACATCGTAATCGGCGACAAAGCGCTCTGAGGAGAAAAAAATAATGAACGGTGCATCTCAATAACTTCCAATATTCCGTAAACATCACTTATCATTAAAAACAAAGTCATGTCAATCTTCACTTTGAGCCTTTCTCATACAACTGGATATAAAAAGTCTACACACCCCTGGAAAAGATGAAACGGCGATCGATCTTGTCAAAAGTGTCCCATCATGAATGTGACTTTTCACCTCTACAACGACCAGTGAATCAAAAAAATAAAAATAAAAAAATGCAGGTTACTGAGGTACTGTGGTGACACAAGCGTGATAACCGTCATACCTTCTTATGTTGCTGTCTACAGAATGAAACGATCGCCTTCAAACTTGACTTCAACGGGACTCGGCATGCGCTCGCGTCGCCAACCTTTGAAGTACCTCAGATCACCCCCAAGTAAAGTTGATCTGATCGAGTCAGCTTTTCCCCGACTTTTCTTTTTGCTTTCCAGAAGCGAAAATGCTTTGTGCTACCAACCGACTCGTATTTGGAAGTGTTTCCCAATTCCCTCCACCTTGATGACGTCCACCGTCGCATCCGAAAAACAGCCGCCAAAAGTGTGATTCTGCCACCACCGTGTAACGACGGTGTTGTGTTTGCGGCAAACGCTGACCCCCCCCCCACCCCCTCCGAGCATCTTAACATCCATTTCGTGACTGCAGGTGGGCATTCAATCGGAGTAAGAATGACGACAGTACGTTCCAGTCATGAATCTCCCATCGGATGAATATTTAAAGGAGAGTGCGATGGTGGACTGAAAGAGCCCCCCCAACCCCCCCACCCTCGTAAATGACAATGGCAGTTCCGACTTTTTTTTTAATTTTTTTATTTTGTATTTAACATCTCTGGGCAGAGAAGATGGCTGTGCCAAACGCCGCGGATTACAAGCCTTTAAGAGGTAAGAGGCTCTTTGGAGGTCGACGAGTTGCTCCTTTGGCAAGCGCAACCCAACCGCTGGCCTCGGCCTCCCTGCCAGCCTGCTGCCGCTCTGGAGGGGATTGAAAGTGGCTGGCCCCATTATTTCTCCCCGAATCAGCCTAAGGAGGCTTTCAGCCCGCCTCAATGAACTCCGTGACCCACTTTCTCAAAAGGCCGCTCTGCCTTTCCATCACATGCTGACTTTTATATCCCCCCGCAATGAATGCGTGGCACTCCATTGATCTGCCGGGGTCCCACCGTGGCAGTCCTGCAAATCCTTCTCTACAATAAGCCCAATACAGTCCAGGGGTTTGAATTATTAATACCCCGGTTCTCAGTCGCCGGTAAAACTAATTAGATGAGAGCGTTTCTTATGGTTGCATTGCTTCCAGTCAAGACGAGTGGAGCCAAATAATGAAATAACAAACTAAAATTGGAAAAAAACCCGCTAACTAACTGAAACTACATTCTGTGCTTATAAAATGAATTATAATACTGAAATGACATTTTTTTGTACGGCCGTACAGAAGAAAGTTTGAACAATCGTTTGGGAATTGTAGTTTACTTTATTACACGATACTGAGTGACGTTTTGTTTTTAAACCTTTCATGCACAAATAAGTTCAAGTTCTAGTCAACTTTATTGACAAATGTGCTGTATGAGCAACATACAGCACACATGAAATGTCTTTCCTCTCAACCACAGGAGAGAGAGGAGCCGCTGCGGGTGCCCGCGCCGCCATCAATTTATTGTATAGTGTTTTATTTAGTCTTTGGGCATCTAAAAAAAAAATAATGGCAGTAGATGGCAACACACATAAGGGTCCATTGTTGTGGGTGATGCACAACTGTGACATGATTATTATTATTATTATTATTTTATTTCAGGGCGGAACTATTGGCGCAATGGATAATGCGTTGGACTACACCTCAGGAGGTGCTAGGTTCGACTCCTGGCTAGCTTGTGTGAGTTTTGGCGGCCCAGTGGTCCAGTGGTTAGCACGTCGACCTCACAGTACAGAGGTACCGTGTTCAATTCCAGCTCCGACCTCCCTGTGTGGAGTTTGCATGTGTGGGTTTTCTCCGGGTACTCCGGTTTCCTCCCACATTCCAACAACATCCATGGCAGGCTGATTGGACACTCTAAATTGTCCCTCAGTATGAGCGTGAGTGTGAATGGTCGTTCGTCTGTGTGTGCCCTGCGATTGGCTGGCAACCGGTTCAGGGTGTCCCCCGCCAACTGCCCGAAGACGGCTGGGATAGGCTCCAGCACCCCCCGCGACTCTTGTGAGGATAAAGCGGTTCAGAAAATGGATGGATGGGTGAATGGCATTTCATATTCGATTTTCATGCTCTGAGGAGAAAAAATAATGAACGGTAAATTACTCACAACTTACTTGAGTACTTGAGTAGTTCACTCAGCGACTACATACGTTCTCCAGTAATTGTTCCGAGGGCTACTTTTGACTTTCACTTGAGTCATATTATTCCAAAGTCATCGTACTCTTACTTGAGTGTCCTTTTTGCCCACCTCTCCGCACGGAACGTTCAACTTTTGAGTGATTCATGCAACTTCCAGTTGGCACCCTTTTACCTTTTAGCCACCTGGACGTCTTTTCACAAAATGCAAATGGCATGAAAATCACGTCAACAACAAGACTTTGGACCAAGACTGCAAAACAACACGCCGTCGTGTGGGCCGGTTGTGTAAGCGTGAGCCACACGAAAGGTCAGCCTCTTGTTGCCAGCATGTTATCTCGGTTTTACAACACTTTTTTTTCCCCCCTTTGTCGTTTTGCTTACAGACGGCCCAGTTTCCTGATGTTTTTTAGGCCAACATCTCAGTGTGCACGCGGTCCCCATTAAGCCCCTCCAAGTGTGTGTGTGTGTACGAGTGTGTGCGTTGGTGTGTGTTTTAGCTTTAGCCTCGGCACTGGCGCCTTTGGAGGATACGCACGCACGCAAACATGGCCCCCGTGTGACCTTGATCCCGCTGGTGCACACGTACTGCTGAGTAAGATTGCGATAGGCAGTCACTCTCTCTTGCTAAGTGGATACGGTCCAGTTAAAGTCTTCTGATCACAGCTTATGGAGAAGCAATCATATTTTGGTTCAATCAGCCTGCCATGCATGTTTTTGGAATGTAGGAGGAAACCGGAGTACCCGGAGGAAACCCACGCAGGCACGGGGAGAACATGCAAACTCCACACAGGGAGGCCGGCGCTGGAATCGAACCCGGTACCTCTGCACTGTGAGGTCGATGCGCTACCCACTGCTCCATCGGTCCGCCCTGAAGCGATCGACGTATCGGTAGTACTGTAGTCGAGGAGACCTATTGTAGACTCTTTGAATCTGTGTGTCTTTTCTAATCCAACTTCACTGGATGATGTTTGAGTTTTACAAAACCATAACAAATAGAAATTAACATCAGACAATCAAACGGTATATCCTGAATTATAGGCAAGGTAAGCTCTCGGTGAAGACTTTGCATCTCGCCACACACCCTGAAGTCACCAAACAGAAGTTGTTGACATCTCAACGAAGCATTAATGATCGTTCCTGATTGTTGTAATATCAGCAGCGGTGTGTATTAGGTTCAAATGATAGTGACACGAGCGAGATAAAGGGAGTTAAACTGTCTTGCGAGAGCAAAGTCCCATTAAGCACGGCACTGCTACTTTACCTAAATCACATTTAAATGTTATATAATGGCTCGAGTTTTGCTCAGCGAGGAGCGGCGCATCTTAAAGGGGCAAGTGATAAGGTTGCATAAGATGCAGCATTGTTGTTTTCCACGCGGCTGTTGATCTGTGCTGAGCTTCTGGATGGGACGCTGATAACTGCATGAGTTGACTGAAGGTCACTACCTTCCAACCAAAAAAAAAAAAAAAAAGGTTCATCGAGTTTAAAAAGGGCTTCCCCCCAAAAACCAAAAAATTTTTGCGTTTTTTCATGTGAAATATATAATCATTAAGCACGGCACTGCTACTTTACCTAAATCACATTTAAATGTTATATAATGGCTCGAGTTTTGCTCAGCGAGGAGCGGCGCATCTTAAAGGGGCAAGTGATAAGGTTGCATAAGATGCAGCATTGTTGTTTTCCACGCGGCTGTTGATCTGTGCTGAGCTTCTGGATGGGACGCTGATAACTGCATGAGTTGACTGAAGGTCACTACCTTCCAACCAAAAAAAAAAAAAAAAAAGGTTCATCGAGTTTAAAAATGGCTTCGCCCCAAAAATCCAAAAATATTGTCTGTTTATCATGTGTAAATTATGATCAAAAACTCCTGTTGTGGAGAAGGAGAGAGAGACAGAAAAGATCACACAATCCATGCCTTGAGGAACACCGCGTTACACGGTTATATCGGTCAGGAACTGCAGTCATCCAATCCAGGCAAACAAACATCATCACCACATTCAGTGAAAAAAAAAATGTCATTTTTCTCAGATGATAAATAATATATGCCTGTGAGCATTATCTGTAATATTATCTGTCTTCATGTGCTGCTTCATTGTTTATGTGCAAATTGCAGTTGAAGGGATTATATTGCTGCATCTATCAATGCTACATGTTAGCATGTTTATGGCAGTTTCTATTACATGTTAGCGTTAAGCTAGAGGGGGCATTTCTCAGGCAAAGTTGTCCAATGTTTTTGTGATGTCCATACCACATAAACAAAATTAACAAATAAACCAATAAAGTACAGGAACAAAGTCTCTTCACTTGTTACCTAACACTTCAGCCCATGATTGAAGGAACACGCTTCGAAAAAGCTCCGTAAACAAGCATGCATCTCATCCTCCACCCCTCCACCCTGCTCCTTGGCAGTGACGTCAACTGTTTACTATCTTGTGGCTGGTTGCAGTCCGACAGGATTTACGTAACTAAAACCCCGCGCACGCTGCAGGCCAGCATGACAGGAGGAGGCACTTTGCTGCAGAGGCACCCCGGCACCGAGTCACCCAATCTCTTAGAGACGCGCACACGCACACGCACGCCCACGACGAGCACAGCTCAATGGACGCAAGTGTTTTTCCTCCCCGCTGCACTGAGGTTTGTGCATGTGAAAGCACATCAAAGCGCACGTCATAGTTCCATGTGACAGTCCCACGCACACACGCACACACACGCACCTTTCCCAGCAAGCACCGAGGCAGCAGCAGCGGAGTAAACAACCCTGGCAGCTCAAGCGCTTCCCACGTTCCCTTGTACGAGCAGTGGTCGCCCCCTGTTGGCTGGTAATTTTATATACAGGTTGTGCGTGTGCGTGTATGTGTGCGTGTGTGCGTGTGCGTGTGTGTGCGTGTGTGTGCGTGTGTGTATATATATATATATATATATATATATTCTATATAAAATAGAATCAAAATGACAACATAAGAGGACGCTCCCTTCCCCCAAGCATGCCTATGCTCGCGCGCGAGCGCGCGCACACACACACACACACACACACACACACACACACACACACACACACACGCACACACACGCACACACACATGCAGTAGTTATTTTTCAGGACATACAGTATTTCATTGTGCACGGACAGTATTTTTTCGTAAATGTTTCAGAATTTTCGTTTGTGGATTTCATTCTATTTTTTATAATTATATTTTTATGTAGCGATGGCTGTCTGAAAGTGTTTTATAAATACAGTTGAGTTGAGTTGAGATATTATTCTACTGTTTCTTGACATACAGTATAATACCACATTGGTTCCGCCTTTGTTTCCAGGGGAACATTTTTGTCTGGCTCCAGAAAGCTCAACCAGGAAGTGTTTTTATTCACTCGTCGATGTATCTAAGATTAAAAATCACTGAGTACAGATAAAAGACATTAGAAAAAATGTTCTTTGGCTATGCACTGTATCGTTGCATGTACTGTTCCTGTCGCAATTTTGAGCCCGTACAGATTTAAAAGAAATACCAACTATAATGTACGCATTTGCTTGGGGAAAGTAACCGGACAGCTCCACTCACAAGGTAAACAAATACAGTACATTCTCTCACACCAGCAGTACTTTTAAGAATTTAATTAAGTCTATATATCTTAACCATACATTGAAGGGCCAAATTAAATTACAACCCTTATGATTCGACTTTTTTTTTAACGCCAGGTGAGTTTGTGCGATCAAATTACGACCTAGAAATGTGTGAAATCTGTTCCCGAGGACAATGGAATGGCGGGACGTCCTCAGTAAACGCAGGTAGAAAAACGGATGAGATTCGTGTTTTACTTTCACGGAACTCCCAGCTGACTACCGGGCAGAAGGCCGAGTGCACCCTGAACTGGTTGATTTCTCCTATGTGGGGTGTCATTGTGAATATGTTCGCTGTGACAATCTAATTTGCCTCAAGGGATAATTGAAGTACCCGACGATGGATTTATCAATCGATCTGTCACATGGACACAAATGACGTGTATTAGTTTGTGGCCATGAAATAGCTGTGGCTAAAACCCGAGCAGCTAGTAGCTGCGCATTGGACAGGGATTATCATTTAATTTTCATGATAATGATGTTAAACCCACACATTAGTGATTTGTATGCAACTTCACCAATTTCATTGCCACAAATTTGAATTTGGTGCCTACATTGTGTATTGTGAGGACCACCTCCACCCCCTACGCCATGTCCGGGGCTCTGTAATATTGAACAAGGGAGAAGACAATATATCTTGTCAAACAGAGCAACAAGTTGTGCTTCGAGAGTGCAACACACATGTTTCAAACTAAATGCTCAATATGTAGTTACATTATTTGCCAGGATATTATAGAATGATTTATAAACGTTTTCATTTATTTCAGAATAAATGGAGGGGACGTCGAAAAGCGCCACGGGCGATCAACCGTCGATCGTTGCCGCTCAAGTCCCCTTCCTTCACCTGTGTAACACTTTGGAAAAAATCCAGAAATTGAAACTCCGCCCAGAAAAGTCCAAGACCCTCGGGGATTTTATTGTGTCATGGAGAACGTTCCACGCTGCCCTGCATAAGGACGAGCCCAAAACAACCGACTCTTTCTACCCGGCGATGCGTCTCATTGTTCCCTCATTCGAGCGAGAGCGAATGGCTTACGGCATCAAAGAAAACATGCTCGCTAAACTTTACATCGATGTATTATGCCTCCCGAAAAACGGTCCCGAAGCCAACAAGCTATTGAACTACCGCACACCGACCGCGTCTCAAGGAGAGTCCGGAGACTTTGCCGGCATGGCGTATTTTGTGCTCAAGAAGCGCTGCACCGGCCAGGGAAAGCTCAGCATCAAGGAAGTCAACGACTTTCTTGACTCGGTCGCGCTCAACAATGCGAGCAAGAAGAAAGACCTTGTGAAAACCAGCCTGCTGCACCTCATCACGCAGAGCTCCGCCCTTGAGCAAAAATGGCTCATCAGAATGATCCTGAAGGACATGAAGCTCGGCGTGAGCAAGGAAACGGTCCTTCAAGTCTTCCACCCGGATGCCGCCGAGCTCTACAACGTGACCACGGACTTGGACAAAGTGTGCCGGCAGCTCCACGACCCCTCGGTGTCTTTGAGCGAAGTTTCCATCGGCCTTTTCTCCGCCTTCAAACCCATGTTGGCTGCCGTGGCGAACATCGGCGGCATTGAGAAGCAGATGGGAAACAGCCCTTTTTACATTGAAACCAAGTTGGATGGGGAGCGGATACAACTCCATAAAGACGGCGACGTGTACAAGTACTTCAGCCGGAACGCCTTTGACTACACGCAGCAGTTCGGCGGCTCGCCCCGCGAGGGTTCGCTGACGCCGCACATCCACAAAGTCTTCCAAAGCCACGTCGTCAATTGCATCCTCGACGGGGAGATGATGGCTTACAACCCCACCGCAAAGACTTTCATGCAGAAAGGGAGCAAATTCGACATCAAGAGACTCGTGGATGATTCCGAGTTGCAGACTTGCTTCTGCGTCTTTGACGTGCTCTTAGTCAACTCCCAGAAGCTCGGCAAGGAAACGCTGAAGAAGCGCTACGAGATCCTGCAGACGGTTTTCACTCCGGTGACCGGCCGCATCCATTTGGTGCTGAAAACGGAGGCCCGGACCACGCGGGACGTGGTGAATTCCCTCAACGACGCCATTGACCACCGAGAAGAGGGCATCATGGTGAAGGATCCTCTCTCCGTCTACAAACCGGACAAGCGAGGCGAGGGCTGGCTGAAGATCAAGCCGGAATACGTGGGCGGCCTGATGGATGAGCTGGACGTTCTGATTGTCGGCGGCTACTGGGGGAAAGGGAGGAGGGCCGGCATGATGTCCCATTTCCTGTGCGCCGTTGCGGAAGCTCCGACGGTTGGCGACAAACCTTCGGTTTTCCACACGCTCTGTCGCATCGGCTCGGGCTACACCATGAAGGAGCTGTACGACCTCGGCCTGAAGCTCGCAAAGCACTGGAAAGTCTACCGTAAAAACGACCCCCCGGCCAACATCCTGTGCGCGACCGAGAAGCCCGAGGTGTACATCGAGCCTTGCAACTCGGTCATCCTTCAGGTGAAGGCGGCCGAGATAGTCGGCAGCGACATGTACAAAACCAACTGCACCCTGCGCTTCCCGAGGATCGAGAAGATCCGCGACGACAAGGAGTGGCACCAGTGCATCACCCTCGCCGAGCTGGAGCAGTTCCGCGGCAAGGCGTCGGGCAAACTGGCCTCGCGCCACCTTTGCATCGACGCCGCCGACGAGCCGCGGAGGAAAAGACCGAAGCTGCCCGCCAGATCCAAGAAGGCGCTCAGTGACCTCTACAAGCCGCAGGATCTCTCCGGGGTCGCCAAGGAGACGGACATCTTTGAGGACGTGGAGTTCTGCATCCTCAACGGGACCGCCGATCACCCCAAGGCCGAGTTGGAGAAAGCCGTGGCCAGGTAAATCGCTCGTTCGCGCAGAGTCGGCCGTCATGGCGAAAGAACGACCGCTCTGTGTTGTGTCGACTTCAGGTGCGGCGGTATCGTCGTTCAGAACCCGGGGCCGGAAACGTATTGCGTCATCGCCGGACTGGAGAACATGCGTGTGAAGAATCTGATTTTGTCCGACCGGCACGATGTGGTGCGGGCCCCCTGGCTGGTGGAGTGTCTGGAGCAGAAGCGGGTGGTTGCGTGGCAGCCGCGCCACATGATCCACATGTCGCCCTCCACCAAGGAACACTTCGCCAAGGCCTACGACGGCTACGGCGACAGCTACTTCCTGGACACGGACGAACGGCAGCTGAGGGAAGTGTTCGGGCGCGCGGGAGGGGTGGACGGCCCGGCGGCCGTCGACGTCGGCCGAGTCGAGGAGCGTTACGGCTGGGGCGACCTTCCCACCAGTATGTTCAGACCTTTCAGGGTTTACATGGACGACTACGCCGACGTCAACGACCCCGCCAGCGTCATTTCCGCAAGCGGTTTGGATATCAGGGCCCTGGAGTTTCGTTACCACGGAGGCACGGTGGTCGAGAAGTTGGAGGAAGGCGTGTCGCACGTCGTCGTCATGGCCGAAAGCAGACTTGAGCGTTTGAGGGGATTGAGGCGCGGCTTTCGAAAGAAGTTCAAAATCGTCCGAGACTCCTGGGTGACGGACTCAATCCAAGCGGGGCACCTGATGAACGACGACAACTATTTAGTCTGAAAAGCCTCCCCCCCGGGATACGCGGCCTTGGGATTCCGTCCTCGGCGCTGGCGGCCGCGTTGTGAATGCGGATGTATTTGTCGCCTAGTGTCGCGGGGATCGACAGAAATTGAGGACGATGCCGCCGATGATCCCGATTGGACTTTTTAGCTCAGCAAGTTTCTGGAAATTGTCATGACGTCATTTCCACCTTGTCACTTGTCTGCCTGTGCGTTTTTTTTGTCTCGCACAAAAATCTAGTAATTCAGAATCAATGCGTCGTTCGGCGAGTCAAATCATGTAAAAATATTTTTAAAAAAAATGAAATTAGTCTTACTTTCGAGGAACCTCGACATCATACATGAGAGTTTGATGACCTTCAAGGGGTTTCGTGCGTCGGTTTTTAGAGTTGTGTTTCTTTATGTTTGCTCACAGCTACATTTTATGACAAAATCCCGAAAGCAATTCGTGCACTGCTGAGATTCTGGACTTTCTGATATTTCCCATCATGCAACCATGATAGCTCATCGCATGTAGCTCACTTGGTTTTTTAATCATCTTTTTTGGTCATCTCCCTCCAGATTCATGTCGTCCACATGCTTTTTGTCGCGTGGGGAAATTTGGATGTGTAAAATGAATTCTTTTCCAGTGCACGTAATGGCGGCGTTTTTCATTGAATGTTTTTTTTTAAAGAAAATAAACAGGGCAAATAATTGATCCTGTTTTTCCCCCTTTTTCCTCTCTTCAGCATCCCACTCATCTGTCCGACAGTGGGCTGTATGTCACATCAGGTGTTTAAAACTGGCAAAGCCCCTCACAGCAAAGACAACCTGGTATTTTCTGCCTTCCGAAATGTCACCAGCGTGGCTTGGGACTCATTGATATGTTATAACCTTCATTTCGTCACACTCCAGGGTGCTACCCGTGGTGTCTGGGCATTGTTGGATCGAAAATAATTTGGGGGGGAAATGAGCGATGGTATCTACTGAGTCTTTAAGGTGACATGGTTTGGGGGGGGGGTGGAATCTTGCAACCAGAGTTTATATGTTCTCCCCGGGCCTGCGTGGGTTTTCTCCGGGTACTCCGGTTTCCTCCCACATTCCAAAAACATGCATGGCAGGCTGATTGAGCACTCTCGATTGCCCCGAGGTGTGAATGTGAGCGCGGATGGTTGTTCGTTTCTGTGTGCCCTGCGATGGGCTGGCAACTGGTTCAGGGTGTCCCCCGCCTCCTGCCCAAAGACAGCTGGGATAGGCTCCAGCACCCCCCGCCACCCTTGTGAGGATTAAAAACGTATCAGAAAATGAATGAAGAACCAATTATACAGTATGAGGTGCGTGTATTATTTTTGTCCACTCGGGGTCGCCATCCTCGCATTCTAATGTACTGTAGTATCTGTGCCCGTGACTGAAGGCCTGTGACTTAAAAGGCGGGGCCTGTCTCCCTGACGGACATGGTATTCGCTGAGATGAGAGTGTCTGTCCGGTAACTGGCTAAACCTTGACTCAGATTGCTTGGTTGAGTGACTCGGCGTCAGTCGCGGCCGTGCTGCTTATTGCATGAATGTGCTTGTGACGTGTTGATTGCATTTGTTCAATAAAGCAATTGAACATTGACCAAAGGCTGCGTCTATCCTTCCGCAGGTGGAGGGATTGTAATCCATTCAAATGACCAGTGGTGGGTTACATTAAATGAGCTCACAATGTATACTTTACGATGGATATGCAGTTGTGTAACTTCTTGCCCTTTTGCGTTTTTTTTTTTTTTTTAAATTAACTAAAAGATGATCCCAAACTTTGGATATTCTCTATTGCTAAACTGTCAAGCATGGCTGCGACAGGTATGAGCTGCATTCATTTGGTTCAATCCAGTTTACACATCTGGATGAACCAGTCCAGAAAGGCAAGATTCTTCATCTTTGGCTCGGGTCGGCATTTTTCACATCATGATGGAGAGAGTTCAAGTTTGCCTGCTCTCCTGAGACAGGACCATCGTTGTTGTTCCGGACAGCTGCAACAACACTCTTCTGCCTGTGGCTTTCTTGGAGTCATCCAGGGACAGGACACTTTCCTCATCTGGTAGTTTCTGCTTTACTGGTACCATGGGCGACAAAAGGCAATCAACTATATATTTGGACTTCATGAGCTTTTGTTTCAATGGCGAGATGCTTTGCTATTCTCGGGAGGTTAAAAAAAAAGTGGAAACCCACCCTTGTAAAGATGTCAAGCAAGTCCTCTTCATCACTTTCCTCCATTATGCCCTGAAGGTCCGACTCAACGGTTTTTATGAGAGGAAGGTAGTTGAGAAATGATGTCATCAGAATGTCAACATCAAGAGCGTCAACGTCGTGTTTGCCGGCTAACTCGGAAGCCTCGTCTACGATGCATGTCGTCGGTGCGAAGTATTCTTTCGAAAGACCATTATTGTCGTGACTCGAAAAAGTGAAATGTTGATGACCGGATGGAAAGAAGCAATAAATAGCGGTTTACATTATTGAGCCCATCCAAAAGGGATTAGAAGTTTGATTGACTGTGAAAAACATTGGTTAGCCAGATATAAATATCGTACAACAAATTCATGCGTAGATTAGGCCAATGTCAGACACCGATTGAGTAGAGTTAACTTACACAAATGATTCATATTAGATTTCAACTTTCGGAGGAGTCGTTCCTAAAAAGCAGTTTTAATATAATTATATCAAAGGTAATTTTCTGAGTTTCTGGCGCCCTCTAAAGGCCACGTGTGTCTTAGCATTGGCCTAAACAGGAGTTCCCCGCATCCAATATTTTGAATATTTTTATTCAATTTATTTTTCTAATTTGTTTTGTTTGGTCGGTTGAGTTTTTGGGGAGCCAACCCCAATTTTTCATGGCAAATTGTATATTGGCGGCTCATCCACATTTTCTTTTAAAAAGGTTTTGGCGGGGGGGGGGTTGAAATTTTGTTATATTTTTTTCATCCATTTCAATGCATTTGTTATAGGTATGCATTATACACTGATTTTTTTTTTCATTTTTGGTGGGCTGGCCCAGTCCCGATCCACTGTGAACTTGTAGTTTTGCCTCAATGAAATCTCACCTCAGTCTTGGAACTCACCGTTTCCCCTTCACACTGTTCAAAAATTGTTCCCAAAAGGCAATACCCCACCAAATTTGATGGCAGGAACCGTTCGAGGTGCTCCTCCATGACTGACTGCGCTGTTGTTTCCTGATTCTCAAACAGCCGCACATTTGTTTTATAAAACATATTATAGAGGATACAGGAGCCAAACTAACCTGAAAGTACAATACATGAAAACAAATTAATGTCATGCCTTGAAGCAAAAGTTTGCGAAACTTTGCAGTTTTCATTTTCAACCGAGAAGTATCGATTACCTTGTGTGATTACAAAACACATTTTGCTTCCGCTCCAAACATTTTCGCATGGAAAAGGATTCCAACAGGAATGTAACAATTGTGAGAAGAATGCCGTCTTCACTTGAATATTTCACAGCTAACAGTACATTGTGCGATCATATGAGCACAACACAGAAATGCTTCTCCCACACTGGACTATTTCCAGGTATTCTAGAATTTAGTATGACTGTCAGGCTTTAATTAGAGGTACTGAACTAGTATTTACTCCTGCAGGGCATTTATGTGCGTGCGCGTGTGCGTGTGTGTGTGTGTGTGTGTGTGTGTGTGTGTGTGTGTGTGTGTGTGGAGCACAGTGTTGAGCCTAAAGCTCAATTTCTGCTCTTTTGAAAATCACTGGGAAGAAGCAGCGGAAAAGATGGCAAATCCGTTGGGAGTGTTGCCACGAAGGAAATCTGCACAGGAGCAGCAGGGTGCCAAAACAGCTAAAACAACCCCCCCCCAAAAAAGAGAGAGAGAGAGAGAGAGAGAGACCTCATGTGATAGTCTGAATCTGAGTGTGAATGGTTGTCTGTCCCTTGTGATCATCTGGCGACCAATCCAGGGCGTAGTCCACTTCTGGTGCAGCAGTTGAGTTGATCTTTTTTCACGTCCAACAGGTGGCAAACCTTTTTCTGACACAGCAGCATTTTTGAAAACAGTAATCCGTTGCCCTTTATGACATCTCAGATGGATTACTTGAATGTACTTTACTTTGGAGTCAGCCAGCCCTTCCTCAAATGTCTTTAAACTATAAAACTGAAGCTAGAGACACACTGTTACGTAGGATTTACAGGTGGTTTCCTGATTTAAGTGTGAATTGCGTTTTTATTGGTTAAACGGTATCGATTGGGCTTGGTTCATCAAACGGTTTGGACTTTGTTGGTGCTTTCACTTGTCACTATTTGTACTTGATTTTACTCATCTGAAAGTGCTCGAAACACATTTAGGATCATTGTTATTTTAGAATTCCACTTTTTTGTTTTTCAATTACTTGATGGTTTCTTTTCTGAGCTGTTCAAATTCAGTTGAGTTGAGAGGGAGCGGGCATTAATAAATAACTCCTGAAGATCCAGTGGACTGCAACAAGGATTCTCGTGAATCTTTTGGATCCTGCGCCTTCTCAATTACAATTGCCGCCCCCACAAATGTTACATTTTTTTTTTAAATCAGAAATGCAAGTAACTTTTCTAAATGATTTTGTTTGTGCTGATTCCGAGTATGCCCTCGTTTTTCTCTAGCACATCAGGTTTAATAATAATAATAATAATGAAAAAAAAACCAATAACAACAACAATAACACCTGGCGTGGTAGAAAAAAAAATCAATGTCAAAAATTCGGGAACACATTGAATCATCTCAGATTCAAATTTGCTGTTGACCACTGTTATGATTATAGTCTGGGATCTTTATTAGGATTGCTTCGCCTCAATGTGTTTACCATCACTGTTATTCTCTCAAGAGTTTGTAGCTTTCTTCTGACAAACGTTGGTTCAATGCCTCGTCATCGGCTTTTGGTGGTCCATTGTATCTGAAAGTAACATGAAAACCCCTCGAACAGCAAACAAATTGAAGACACTCGGTTGATATTCGTCAACCAGTCTACTTTCTGTGCATTGTTTCAGTGTCGTTATTATTATTAGGCTACTCATAATTTCCTCGGTGCACACTCAATGTATGCCTATAAAGTTGACTGTGTTAATTGCAAATTTGATATCGCAATCTTCACATTTCAGTGGAAATTGTCTGTTTTGGACTTGACTCACCTCAAGTGGAGGAGAGGGATGCGGCGACTGCGGTGCGCGGCATAACGTCAGAGCTGGAGATGTCTTTATCAATTGTGCAAGAGTGAGGAGCGTCGCCACCGGATGCGGTGGAGAGTGGCTTTTCAATGTAATAGATCTCATCCGCGCAGCCCTTCGCCTTCGATGTAAAGTGAACTTCCGGTTGACATGTAAACACGATGACAACATTGAACAAATTATCAGGTTTTACAACCACTACTACCACTACGAGTTCGACTACTACTAATATGTAATGTCGTATTTATTAGAAATATTTATGAATTAAGTGTTAGGTTCAGTACCAGGTGGAATTTTTAAGTGAAACGTCAACGCTGTTCATTACAACGAATGGCAAAATCATATGAGGCAAGCGGCTAGAGTTCGCGTTGGGCTAAAAGTTAGGAGTCAAACTTTGGTCAAAATTAAAAACAAACAAATGAAAATATCTAAAAAAAAACGGTTGTGGTAGAAAAAAGTAACGACATTTCGAGAGACATAAAACCACCTCTGCAATTACAATTTTCGAACCGAGGGCAGCTTTTATTTTGTAGAAAATAGAACCGGAACCGGCAAGCCTTATTACCGCCAGCACGAGAGCTTCCAGCGAACACGCACAGTTCCTTGGCCAATATGGCGGCGACTTGACGACGGCAGCGGGATGAAGAGGGTGAGGGCTTGAAAAAGCAAAGAGGTCCGTCACAGGCTGTGGGCCTATCCGTCGACACCGAGCCCAGACCATGTTGGAAGACGACAGCTGCTGCAGCGTAGCGCGACCGAGGTGTCGGTGAGTGTGTGGATAACTATAGACGCGTTCGCGAGGCCCCGCAAGAGGGAGAGGAGGAGCGGAGCGGTGTGCGGCTCGTCTCGTCTCGGCTCGGCGCGGGGCTAGCACAGCGGCGGCTTCCCCCGGTCGGTCAGCCATGGAGGATTCGGCCCGGGCTTGCCAGCGTCTAATTTGCTACCCGGCCCACGCTCAGTCGGATGGGAATTAGCCGCGGAGGCCAAGGCCAGCCGGGACAAGCCACCAGCCGACACCTGAAGGGGGAGGAACGCGAAGCGGACCCCACGTCAATGACTGCTGCGGCAGAGGAGCCGCCACGGTGGAGTCGGCCGGTTCCCAAAATATGACCAGGGGTGCTGGGACGTGTTGGCACCAAGATGACGACGATGGCGGCTTCCAAATCTGGCTAGAACCCCCACGCGACAACCAAAAGCCATTCACCGACTCCGAGAGGGCGCAGAGATGGCGACTGTCCTTGGCATCCCTCTTGTTTCTCACCATCCTCCTCTCTGATCACCTGTGGTTCTGCGCCGAGGCCAAACTGGCCAGGACCCGGGACAAGTTGGGATCCTCCCGCCTCCTCTACCCCCGGACCCATTCAGCACATAGCAGCCTCAGAGAAAACCCACTCGCTATTTTTGTAGGAAACTCGAGCAAACATTTGTGGCGGCTGGAAACTTGCCACACGGACACTTTGTCAAACACCTGCTTGACTTTCGCCGACGCCGACCATTTGTGCAGGGGCCTCTCCGGTAAGGAGGGCACGCCGGCGGTCAACATGAGCGATTTGTACCTCTCCTTTTGTAACTCCTACTCGCTGCTGGATTTGTTCGGCGGCTCGACCAGTCCGGACAATTTGAACTGCAGCCTGGACGTGCTCGGCGACGTCGACGCGACCCGATGCAGCCTGTGCGTGCAGGCGTACCAGCGCTACGACCAGCACGCCCAGGAGAAGTACGACGACTTTGAGCTCCTCACGAGGAAATACGAGCCGACCGAGTATTCTGTACGGACGTGCATGGAGCAGTGCAAGGTAGGCGAGGGGATTTCGTGTGTGTGTGTGTGTGTGGGGGGGGGGCTTTGTGGTCCCCCTCCTCTTCCTGTCGCCATGGTGACAGATTCAAGGAGATGGACCGGCCTCATGTTCATTCATGTAGCTGCCTGTTGGCTCCATGCTAACGTGCACATGGAGGCCCTACTACACGACACCTCCTATCTGTGAATCGTTCGTGCGTTCCATTTTTTTTTTTACATTGGTATTTGCAAAATCATCAAAACCATAATGTTCGACGTTGATCCTCTCCATGGTCGCAGATAAGCTAGAGCCTATCGCTGATGACTTTGGGCGAGAGGCCATGGACACCCTGGACTGGCTGCCAGCTAGTCAATGGGCAGGTATAGTAGTTTCGTGAGTGACGAGTGACCCGAGCTCTGAGTTTTCTCGAGATATGAATCGTCGTACGACCAGTTTCTTTGACTTGCAAGCACAAACTTGAAATATCGAGTGCTGGATGGTGGCAGCAAACTCAACTCAACACAATAATCTGCACTTTGGCACAGATTGAAGAATTCTTCAAAAAGAGGCTTTAAGATGTGAAATGCATCACCAAATTAAACAGAAAACAATGAGACTTACACATTGCGCACTTCAAATAATGTCTTAGGCACTCTTAGGTTAATGCTAACACATCATCGAGACCACCGCAGGCTGGCTAACCATTACCACACCTGTTGCCGATTTATAATCCTGTAAGCGTCAGATATTTGAACACCAACGGCGGAGCTACACGTCATATCGTATATCACAATACTCCCTGGGATATACTGTTTGAATCGTCGTACGACCAGTTTCTTACTTTGACTTGCAAGCGCAAACTTAAAATATCGAGTGCTGGATGGTGGCAGCAAACTCAACTCAACACAATAATCTGCACTTTGGCACAGATTGAAGAATTCTTCAAAAAGAGGCTTTAAGATGTGAAATGCATCACCAAATTAAACAGAAAACAATGAGACTTACAAATTGTGCACTTCAAATAATGTCTTAGGCACGCAACCCCGCTCGGTTAATGCTAACACATCATCGAGACCACCGCAGTCTGGTTTACCATTCGCACACCTGTTGCCGATTTATAATCCTGGAAGCGTAAGATATTTGAACACCAACGACGGAGCTACACGTCATCTCGTACATCACAATCCTCACTGGGATATACTGTTAATCCTTTGAACTCTGATTGCACCTTGCTGAAGTACCGAGAGTAGTGGTTGACCTCTTTGTTTGTGTCTCTGACTGTTCCTGGAAGCTCCGTGGCCAAGGTGGCGGGCACAATGAGTCGAATTGAATTTGACATTTCTCTCAAGGCATCACTGTGCTCTATAGACAAACAATCATTCGCACCCACATTCCCGTGGCGAATTTAGAGTCTCCAATGAATGTCAAATGTATGCTTTCGGAATGGGCGAGCAAAATCACAGTCTAGATTCAAACCCGCCCCCTACTGTATCTACCCAACTTGGAAAAACAAAAAAAAAGTGACAAGATGATTTGTTATTTATTCCTTCATGTGATTTGTCTCATTTATGCCCCCACTTGTGGATTGGTATGGTGGTTCTCAAACTTTTTACATGGCATCGGCAAGCACCGATACCAAGTATCGGTAGCGGGCAGATACTGGCTTTATTTCAAGCCATTGGCTACTCCTGAAAGCTGCTGATAGAAGCTACCAAATAAGACAACATTTTTAAAAATGACATTGAGTAAGTCCTCCTCCAGTAGGCGGCGCTACACTGCGGCAGATTGCCACATCGGCGAATGATCGTGTGCGTCAGAAAAAAAAAATGGTCTATGTTGGCAATTATCTGTCAAAGTGGTATCGGTACTCTGTCGGCTGAGTACGCAAGGATGAATACTCGTACCGGTTTTGGGTGGAAAATAAGTGGTACTGAACGTCCATACTTGATACAAGAAGTATCACTTCCAAAAATACTTTGGTCTCCAAGTACCAACATACTGACCGCCATTTAAATACAGAAACATAGCAGGTATTCCTTAAACGCGGAGGAACTATTTCCCCCGTTTGCTGTTTGATTGCAAGCGGCAAGAACGAAAACTGCACGGATGACGTTGCACCGTTTTGCCTGAACCACTTTGAGCACCCGAAAGCCGCGTTGTTGGACTGATCAAGCGCATTGGCCACCGCCAGGTGTTCGCCGGGCCCGCGCCTCTCCACATGGAGAATGAGTCGTTGAAGTCAAGAGGTGGTTTGGCGGCCTAATGTGGCGGAAGGCTCTTGTTTGCTCATCGTAGCCAGACGCACTAAAAAGGCTCTCGACCGGCTCCATTTGATCGCTGGCCGCGCTTTAGAATACGCTTGAGGGGCTCCGACTTCAAACTGCCGCGCACGTGCGCGGCGTACAGTAGAAGTGAGTGTCAATACAGAATTGGCTTCACGTGCTTCGCTTTGAACGTTGCGTGTAGTCCATATTGATGGTTGTACATCTGTTCCCAACGTGTCAAAAAACATGGTACCCCCAGCTTTTTTTTCTCCCTTTCTGTCAGGGGTTTTTCTCGGACAAAGTTAAACAAATGACTCGACACACAGGGAAGATTGTCTTTTGACAGCGGAAGAGGATCTCTGAGGGCAAACGACGGTTGTTGCCACGTGGTCACTCTTAGAGTTCCTTGTCCTCCAGTCGGAATTTTATTGTTTACGTTTGTAAAATACAAGAAAAACACTGCCCCCAATATTTGCATACCACGCCCCCGGTCCGGCCCCTCAATAGTGATCTGATTACTAATGATGGGAAAACGAAGCTTCATGAAGCACCCGTGATACTTTTTGACACCTCTAAATGGTGCTCTTGGTTTAAATATAAAGGTTCGTGCAATGGAACTGTATTAAAATTCCATTGAATCTTTAAACCAAGAGTGCCCTCTTGAGGAGTCAAAAACGTACACAAGTGCTTCACGAAGCTTCACTTGTCCACCACTACTGATTACCTTGGTTTAAGCTTTAAACCACAGATACGTTGACACCTTTCAGTCAGGTCTACAACGAATCAGCAAGTTGCAGACTTCAGAGATGACAAATGTCCGCTTGGGCGCGACAGCCGTTCCCAACCCGTCTTTTGATGTTCAACAACGCTTCGTTCCCAAATTGTTTATTCCCACTTTGTGACCGAGTCCAGCCTTCTTCCATCTGTTCGCCCCCTTACTTCGACGTGATAACCGTGGACTTCAAAAGCCCTCCGCCCAAACGGCCGACACCTTTGCGCGCAGGCGTTTGGGGGCATTGAATACGCACCCAAACGTCTAGACCTGCCCAAATTAAATGAAACTTTAAACATGATACCATTTTGCTCGTCGATTTCTCTAGCACCTTCCCACCCGGAGGGAGTCAAGAGCTGAGTAACTGAGCGGCGCTGTCGTCGTCGGTGAATGGTGATGCCAGACTCCATTCACAGAAGCCCCAGCCAATCCCAGATGGCCTCTATTCACCCAAACACTGACAGGGAGGCGGCACATACAGATCAAAAATCCCACAAAGCCATCTGCTTGCATGTAAAAAAACCGAACCCAAATGCGTTTGGATGCCCACACCGCATGCTCTTGTGAACTGCCACTTCGTCTCTCTCTCTCTCTCTCTCTCTCTCTCTCTCTCTCTCTCTCTCTCTCTCTCTCTCTCTCTCTCTCTCTCTCTCTCTCCCCCCGTCATTCCTTCGACGCTCGCGTACTCTTTCTTGAGTCATGTGTCGATAGAACCTTGAAGTAGGCGCCGTGTCATCATCTCATCGTGTATTCATGTTGGTCGCTTTCGCCATCCCAAAAGGTACAATGCGGGTTTTCCTTTAATGCGTACTGATTTTTAAAAAATATCACAAATCACTTCATGCACGTTAAGTACCAAAGCTTCGTTTGTCCTGAGCTGCGTCAAGGAGTTATTATTTTTTTTCCTTCAAGGTCACAAAAAATGGGCGCAGATGTTTTAGGGCCGCCGGCACACCGCTTGATGCTTACGAATCCAGCGAGGACGCGACCATCACCCCCCACCAAAAAATTGACAGTTGGCCACCCACCCACGCACATCGGGCGTTTTAACATAAGGACTCCTTGCAATGTGAATCGTGCGCGCTTGTATCGCGTTCTCGGGCTCATCGTGCAAAGTGTTGAACTGTGTTGCTTTTTTTTTTTTTTTTTTAAATCGTCAAGGTGGACGCAGGTTGCTACAAAAAGAGGACCTGGCTGAGAGTCAAGACAAAAGAATGGGGACGTATTTAAAGGTGGAGCTGGCTCCTTAAAAATTGCCTCTATTGATGGTGCCCCCTAAAAAGAACTCAGCCGTGAGCTATTCATTCATCCAATTTAGTTTGAAGTTCCATTCTGAAAAATAAAAAAAGCACCAGCTGCATCTCACTTTGAAAAAAAATTTTTGCTAGTGTTTTTTGAAGCCATTTTTCCTTTGATATAAATTTGGAAATGATGATATTTGAGCATGTAAAAAAATATATATCAGAAGTTCGCGGCCCGTTGGTGCAATGGTTAGCACGTCGACCTCACAGTGCAGAGGTCGTGGATTCGATCCCAGCTCCGGCCTTCCTGTGTGGAGTTTGCATGTTCGCCCTGGCCTGTGTGGCTTTTCTCCGGGTACTCCGGTTTCCTCCCACATTCCAAGATCATGCATGGCAGGCTGATTGAACGCTCAAAATTGTCCCTGGGTGTGAGTGTGAGCGCGGATGGTTGTTCGTCTGTTTATGCCTTGTGATTGGCTGGCAAGCAGTTCAGGGTGTCCCCCGCCTACTGCCCGAAGACGGCTGGGACAGGCTCCAGCACCCCCCGCCACCCATGTGAGGATAAAGCGGATCGGAAAATGGATGGATGGATGGATGGATAAATCTGATCAATAGATGAGGGCGATGCTTTTCATGATTTGAATGTGTGGGAAGATGCAATAGGATAAAGCGGTGGCAACAATAACAACAACAATAACAACAACAAAAAATTGTGTTTAGTGTTCAAGAATAACGTTTTCAATGTGATGGGATGAAGAGGCTTGATGATAGTTTTGAGTCGTTGAGTTTTGGTAGATGAATCAATATCATGTTTTGAAATCAATCAATATTCATTCAAACTTGTTCACTGTACATAAAGATTATATGCAAGTGTGGGTGCGTGTGTGTGTGTGTGTGTGTGTGTGTGTGTGTGTGTGTGCGTGCGTGCGTGTGTGTGTGGTCCTCCATTATTCACTGAAAATCTTGTCTAGTCGCTTTACTTGTGCATAGGCCAAAGCAATAAAAGTAAGTACTTTGGCGTCATCTGGTGTATTCCTGGCGGTATTGTTGCGTTTAATTCATCGATAGTGTTTTTGTCTCCTTTTGAAATGTCCTGTTTTTCTTGGCAGTCCTTGACGACGCCTCGTGCACCCTCCAAAATGCACGTGAAAGTCTTTCTGCTTCCCTGCCGACGTAGCTTCTCAAAGCTGGTCTTCGTCTACTTTGCTCTCACAACCTGTCATGTGTAAATGCCAGAGACTTGTGTCTCTTCAGACTCCATACATTCAATCTCAGGTACTTATTTATCATAGAGAGAGGGAGAGAGATTAGTTAAAAAAAAAAAAAAAGTCTGAAAATGGCTGGCACTGTATGATTTAATATTAATTGTGTAATGCACAGGTGTCAAAGTCAAGGCCCAGGGCCCAGATCTGGTCCGCCACATCATTTGACGTGGCCCCGCGAAAGCAAATCAAGCATGTCAACTTCCATGATGCTTGCTAAAGTTTGAACCAAAATCTCAAATTGTCATATGTAATCCATGATGACGTAGAGATATGCCAAGCATTTTCCCGTTTCCAAACCCCTTCTTACATTCACGTAAACACAGTTGAAACACGTCATTATCCTTGACTTCTGATTTCAAAACTAGGTGTCCGTCAGTTTGTTGTGTGCTTTGTATGTAATATGTGGAGGCAATTAAACATTGATATCGTTTCACAAAATTCACAGTCAGAACGGTCCTCAAAGGGAAACCGTAACTCCAACGTGGCCTGCGACAAAAATGAGTTTGACACCCCTGGTGTCAAGTGTCACTACCTGTTTGCCCCCATGTGTAACGTCACATCATTTTGTGCTCGTGTGTTGTTCAGACCCGTACGCGAGCTAAAACTCCTGCGAACCTCATTCGAAGGTGGTTTGTATGTGTTGAATAATTTAACTACTGACTAGCAGTTGTTGTGTAACGCGGCTTGATGACTCTGGATGTGTACTGTACAAGCAAATTTATTGCATATATCGAAACCAGTGTGATTTTATTTTTTTGGGGTGGGGGGCAGGGTATCAGTGACTTGATCAACCACAGCCAATAGAGTGTGCGTGTTTCCCACTTTTTAAGGGACCAAAAGTAATGGGACAAATTAATCATGGTCAATCAAACTTTCAGGGCTCTGTGGCATAAAAACGGACACGTCTTCATTTTCACGCCGGGGCAAATGGAGTCGTGCGTGTCATCGCGTCTGAAGCAGTTCGGTGTGTTGCGATCGGGCTGGCGGCCCACCAAGCTCCAAGGTGACAGAGGATTTCTGAGTGCCAGGTCCCCATTCACAATGATCACACATTAGGCTGATCAAATCAGACCGCAGGCCTGCTTCCTGACTAACTCGATTTGCTCTCATACGCTTCCCTTTTCACGCCGCACGCGCACACGCACGTGTACACTTTTGCACTGTTGCACTTGTGCACACGAGCAGAAAAAAAAAAAAAAACAGCGGCGAGTGGGGCAGCACCTATTGAGCGCTGATGAAAAGCAGAGACTGGCGTTACCTTGGTAACTGCTGGCATACATTTTCAGGAGGACCCAGATTTTTCTGTCTGACTCGGAATTGTTTTGGTTCTATTTCCATCGCCGTGGCATCCCTGGACTTATGATCTCACCTCTCGCTGTCAGGAATGATGCCGCGACTGGATCCTCAGAGGGATGCCGAGGAGCGGCTCAAACTCCAGAAATGTGATGCAGCCGTTGAGGTGTCTCATTTATTGATTATTTTTGGGTCGGGATCACGATCCACATTCTGACATTGGCAGTTTACGACCACTAATAAAGCCGAGCAGCATGCGTGTGAACGCGATTGCATTTGAGATTTGGTTGCAATTGTAGGTTAGCGGGGAAATGTATATGCTTAGGCTTGGATTCTTAAAGTGACAGTCACTGGCCCAATATTCGTGTCTTTGAGGCGGCTTTCAACATTGGCCTAATTTTGTGATGAAGTGAAGTCATTCCCCCCCCATGTCAGTTCGATATTTATCCTGCATCGCGGTGGGTGCTGGAGCCTATCCCAGCTGTCTTCAGGCAAGAGGCGGAGGACACCCTCAACCGGTTGCCAGCCAATCGCAGGGCACACAGAGACCAACAACCGTACATTGCTCACACCCACAACGCGGGACAATTTTGAGTGTTCAATCAGCCTGCCATGAATGTTTTTGGAATGTGGGAGGAAACCACGCAGGCCCAAGGAGAGCATGCAAACTCCACACAGGGCGGAATTGGAATTGAACCCGGTACCTCTGCACTTTGAGGTCGACGCGCTAACCACTGGCCCACCGGGCCACCGCCTTTTTTATTATTATCATCATCATCAGGCAACTGCATGTACAATTCACCGATGGCACTCGCAAAGAATGGGAATCTGGAGGGCCGAAAGAAGCGTTTAAAACTGTACGCGTGAGCCACGATAGTTAATAGGCTGCAAAAGTGAGTCGCGTGCCTCCGCGTCAGGCTGTTGCTCATCTCGGCATGCATGTGTATATGCGTGCGCATGCGCACGTGCGCGGTTACGGGTCGATCGCGGGAGGTTGGTTGATCAGAAAGTAGATCTTCGGTCAAAAAAAAGTTTGGGCACTCCTGGGTTATATGAACAGCAAACTGATGTGAATGAGCTTGACTTCGATCTTGTCCAACACATTTGGGAAGAACGGAGATGTTGAGTCTCCCTCTCTGTCTTCCTCTTCCTCTTCCAACACCATTGAGGCTCTTCTGGATGAATGGGCACAGCATACTCCCAAATTCGAACAGAAAGTCTACCGAGACGAGCGGGGGCGACCGGGGACTTTCATTTTCTGTGGGCGTACCGCTCCGAGATTGTATCATCAACCAGCATGTTTTTTACCCTCTAATCACGACTTCTTCTCTGTCCCTTCCAGACGGCCTACAAGCCGTGGCTGTGTGCTCAGTATTTCCCCACCATGCGGCAGTCGTGTCAAAGAAAGGTATCGTGCCACCAGTACTGCTTGGAGGTCCAGCAGAGCTGCCCGTTCATCCTGCCGGACAACGACGACTTGATCCACGGCGGCAGCCCCAGTTTCATCTGCACGGGTTACTGTCCACTCTGTCTGGCTATTGCGGTCTTTCGCTTTTTTTTTTCATTGTAGGATATAATATTCGAGATCATATTTTGCAGTGTTTGCCAAGCTTTACTGAGCCAGAGCACCTGTTTTACATTAGAAAAAAAAGAATAATTAAAAAAAATATTTCCAAAAAAAATATAAATAAATTATTAGATACATTTAATTTTTTTTAACTTATTAATAATCGAAAAAAAATACTGCAAAGGGTTGAAGTATTTTTCCATTTTTTCACTGTCCAGCGATCGGAGTGCCGACGCTAGCGAGACTCGTCTCCACGCTCATCCACAATCATTTTTTTGGTGTACTTTGTTGATGTATGAAGTCGAGGTGAAGCGACTAGTCGATTAATTGAGAACTAAATAGATGATCAAATTAATCGGGAGTCGATTAATTGTTAAGATAATCTTGTTTAATTTTAAATTGTCCAAATCCTTGGAATTTCAGCCTCCTAACAGAAAAATATTTTCGGACGTCTGTCGACGTCCATACAAGCAGACTGATTGTCTGTGTGTCCTTTAAAAAAATAAGACACTCTTGCCTATTTTCTGACGTGTTACAGACCAAACCAGTAACTAAATAATATGTATGTTAGTGCAGTTTCTGCACTTTCAGTATGAAATATTGTCCTGTTTTACAATAAAGGGGGTTAATTTTTTTTCTCAATCCAATTCATCGCTTAATTGACAATATAATCAACCGATTAATCGATGATTCAAATCAGCGTTAGTTGCATCTCCGGCTATGAAGACTGTCATCTTGTCGGGCAGACATTTTGCTGCCCCACCGACCGTTCGAGTCTGGCAAGGGCAGCAGACCGGGCGAGTCGAAAGGCCCGTGTAATTTGGCGACGAAAACTCAATGAGCACCAGTAGGGTCGACTAATTTTCGCCGATTAATCGGTTAATCGTCGATTAGGTCGATTAATCGGTTCAGCCATTATTCGCCAATTGAACGTGGTAATCCGCTGTCGTGTTTTCAACGTCAAAAGATGTCTAAGATGTGTTTTTCTGGTCGGCGTCACTCCCGTTTCAGGACTCTCGAGAGAGCATCCATCAGAGAGCAAGGCGGAGTGCTGCGACGTCCGATGGGACTCCAACATGGACGGCCCCTCGGGCGAGACGCTAAAAAGGACTGCCTCCTCCTGCCGGCCCAAGGGGGCCTCGGTCACCTCCACCGCAACCCCGAGACTGTGCAGCGGGCGGCTGAAGATCTGCTTGCTGGCGCTCGTCCTCCTGCACACCGTCATCATCATCTCGGCCTCCCATAACTCCACTTTGGCGGGCGCGGCCGTCACCTTGTCACCGGAGAAGAGCGAGGATTGAATATCGGCATTGGCCGAGGCTTAAGGGGTTTATTGCTTTTGCAAATGTCACGGTCGGGGATATGGCCGGGATCACCCCCCCCCCCAAAAAAAAAAAACAAAAAACAAAAACACCCAGCACAGGATGCGGGAGGGCTTTTATTGAAGCTCGGAGTGGACTGGACCGCCCACTTAAAGAAGTGACCTCTTACCACTTAAAACCTGCTCATTGTTTCTATTCCAGCCATATGTTTCGGAGCATCTTGTGCCTCCACCTCTCCTCTCCTTCTGTTTGTTTGTTTTTTTTTTGTTTTTTTTTTTTTTTTTGCTGTGTTTCTGTGTCTGGATTGCACGTCGAAATGGACAGCGATATGAGGGTGCGCGCCCCTGCTTGTCTCTACATTCCATTTTTTGATCCTTTTGATGAATCCGCCCTGTTTCCTTTTCCTCTTCCTTTCGACCTTCCAATAACTCATCCCTCACTCGCGTGGTCCTTTCAAAGAATTCAGCTCGTCGATATTTTCTCAACTCTTCCCCTCCCTACATGCCTCAACAGTTTGGCCCCTCAAGTGCACTCAGATTTAAGATAACGGCGCCAGGCAGTGCGCGCCCCGGCGGTGTTAAATTTACCTCACGGATGGCAGTGGTGGCACTCAAGTGACAAAAGCGCTTCATGAACTTGTCATCCGTCGACATTGTCGGAATGAAAAAAAAAGGGGGGGGGGGAAGCTGAAAACTGGAAAGTGGTTGAAACCAAAACCCCGGGGCCTCATTTATCAACAAGGCATACACACCAAGTATTTGTTGAGCCATTTACATCACACACAAAATCAATCCTTATTCACGTGTGTGGGTTTATAATTCTCGCTCTACTTGCTACTGCGCATTGCTCTTATTTTGCCTCCTTTGCACTTTTACACGAGCAGTATTTACAATCATGTATTTGAACAAGGTATAATAAAGAGCTTAACAGCTGAGAACCTTTCCCGTCATTTAAGCGTAATCTCAAATCATCTTTGCCCACAAAATCGTAACATTTTACAGCCATCTCAAACTGCTTAGGTTAAACCTTTTCCCTTAAACAAAAAAAATGTTTTTCTCCCAATGGCAGTCTGTTACATTTCAAACAAATACAAAAATACAGTTGTGCCTTGCAATGCGAATGACCCAATTTATTTTTCCAGATATCGGCCGTTGTGTGGATGATTTTTTTTCTTTTAATTATGACTTGCCTGCAAAAAAAAAAAAAAAAAAATGGCGATACTAGTGCTGGATGGCGGCAGTGAAGTCAACTCAGCTCACTTCACAACAAGTAGCAGTTTGGCAGACAATCAACAATTGTTCTTCGTCGTCTTCAAGCTGTTTATTGCCACTCACTTAAGGTTTACTGTCAAACTAAACATAAAACAAAGAGAATTACTTGTACATTTAAAGCAACCGCATCACTTTGCCTTTAAGTCCACGATGTTTGCGTTAAATGCATCGAGGGAAATGTCATAGACGGACTAACGAATGGTATCGAAGTGGCAGGGTTTTAACGACTTAAGGAACGGCGATTTGAACACAAATGGTGCAGCAACACATCTAGGCAAACTCACAGGGGCTTGCCAAAGGATTCGGCCCCCTTGAAGTTTTTGACCTTTTGCCAACATTTTAGGCAGCAAACATATCGATGTAAAATTGGAATTTGTTGTGAAAAATCAACACCAAGTGGGACACCATTGTGAAGCGGTGCAAAATTCATATTATTCTGCCCCTTCAATGTCAGTGCAGACAACTCACTCCAGAAGTACACTGAGGATTTCGGAATGATCCGGTGTTGGGGGGAATTAAAATTTTATATCTTCCTCTTTGAAGCCCGAAATGTGACAAAAGAATGAAAAGTTCAAGGAGGCCTTTACTTTAGCAAGACAATGTATTCTTTATCCTCTGCGAAACACGGACTGTTATTACAGATCAATTTCTTTGTCCCGGAGGCTCCAAAATGCAGTCGTGCAGACTGCATTTTACTGCCCCCCGGTGGCCATATTGCACACACCGGCCGTAACCGCAAAGAATGAATCGTGACGCACCCTGTTTATTCTTTCCCTTCTCTTTAATGAGGTGATCACGATATCCTTTTATAAAGCGGCACGGTCACGGATTCGGATCGTATCGGAAGGCAGCACCGAACTCAATTGAGGTGACCAATATTCTTGAACCTTCAGAAAAAAAATCAGATGGCGGCTGATTTCTGGTCATGCCATGAATGTTTCTGTTCACCCCGACATGAAACATTTTCGAATCTCCGCGTCCCCCCTTCCAAACCTTTTTGTTCTTCTCCACTCAGGTTGATGATTGAGACCCCGCGTATTGAGTGCCTCTTTGCTGTACACCCGAGTCGAGCCAGCACTGGCAATGGAGCAATCTGATATTGATTTCCGAACGATTCCGAGAAAGGTGCGTCTTTTGCGACCTTTATGCCACCCTTAACAAACTGATGACCCGGGCAAGCAAAGGGCTCCATTCGCATCGGCATGTGAGGAGAATTCAAGGGCTAGACCCATCCCACCCGTGCTTCTGAGTGTGTGCGCTTGTGTGTTTTTTATTCTTATTTTGGCTTGTGGACATCTGATGTGTGTTATAAGTGCACAATGGAGACCGAGTTTGGAATCATGACATCATCAGTTCGCATCCTTTGAAGTGAGAAGCGCTGTCAGATTAGGCTGGCGAAGGACTGACCCGACCGCAATTTGCTAACGTCAACAATATGGTGATGTGAAAGGAGTTGGAGGGCTACGCTGAAAAGAAGGAAGGGAAATATAAGAGTAAAGTTTGAGACAGATGTCAATTTCCGGTCCTGTAGGTGCAGCTCTCTCTGCTGGATCTGGTCGCAAATTGGCTTTTAACTCGCAAATGTTTCTTCCATCTGCACCGTACATTTTGGAGATGCACCAAAACTGTGATCTTGCCCCTCCCTCCAAAAAACTTTGATTATCGATTGTGTAGTTTTGTTTCAATCCCGCTCACCAACAGAGAGCAACCACCCTGTCCCCCCCCCCCCCCAAAAAAAACCCCAAAAACCTTGTTTTATGAGACGAATAGAGTTATCCTTCAAGGAGACAAATCACAATGTCACAAAAAAAAACAAGGCGGAGGTTTTATTCCCGAGAAATGTATTCATTTCATACCATTGTAAACCACTGTAGCATTTTTCACAGTTTTATACTCTTGTTTCAAAATTGGGAGAATTAAAAAAAAAAAAACAACTGTACTTGAATAAGGACGAATGCACACTCTACTTAAAAGTTAAATACAACCGAACTGAATTCAACGAAAAGTACTGCACTGGACTAAATAAAATAAAATGAAATAAGGCAATGAGATTATGCACAGATAAGATTTAATTCAGTACGCTGAGGGGAAGCCCACGTTCTAAATTTGGAGAAACATCGATCGAGATTACACTGATTGACTGTTTCCTTATTTTACGACATCTCTCGGTCAGTTTTTTATTTTTTTTTTTTGCTTTTTATTGTGACCCCCAAAACTTTCTTACGCAAATTCATATCTGCACAGAATGGAAACAGAATCGTCTTGCAACACGATTGCCATTTTCTTCCTTTCCTTTTGGTTTTAAGATGCAACCAGCCGACTCCCGCGCGACATCTTTGCTCATTCAATTCATCTCCCAAAAACAATGATCATCATGTCTATCAAATCCATTCATTGACTTTTACTCTCCTGACCCTTGCACCCCCGCCGTTGTCTGAACCACCAACCCTTCCTGTCCCCTTTGCCTGAATATTAAGAAAATTCCCTGGAAGACAGCATATTCGTTCCCCTGATCTCGACCTGTTCGCATTGCGTGCATCTATGCGGACGATGCTTTCTGTTGTAAATATGCCCCCCCACCCCACCCCCCCTGCAAAAATGGCCTCCCGTTACCTTCTGAAGATTCACAGGTTGCCCTCCTCAAACCCTCTGTTTGAATCTCACTGTGATTTCTGTTTGCCTCCTCCGTTTTCGTCTGCTTTCGGAGATTGTTCTTGCCGCATTTTTACGTTGCCTACTGCAGTGGTGTGACTTGATGAGTAGGACTAAGTTGGATGTTTAAAAAGATGCGATGCAGAGGTCGTGGGGGGAAAAAAAACACAAAAAACCTACAAAAAACAACACTTGAATTATGAAAAGGGTTCGAATACAGACAAAAAAAAGATAACATTATCATATTGTCATACTAGAGATGCTTTAGTTTGCTATTTTCCTTTCTTTTCTACAAAAGACTTGATGAAATGAAATTATTTATAACAATGCGTCCCTCAAGTCATGATCTTTTATGGACGTGAAAAAAAATGTATTTATTAACATTTTGTTCGAAATAAAAAAATAAATATAAATTATGTTACACATTATTTTTGTTGTCTTTTTTTTGTGAGTGGTTGATTACGGGAAAGCGATGCCGGGATCGCACGTTTGATTTTAAAGCAACTTCTTTGAAAATGAAGCAAAACACATTTTGAAAAAAAATATGTGACTGTACCATCTAATCTGGTGTTTAAAAAAAGTTACATGTTTTGCTGCAAAATAGGAGTGAATTGGACTTATAAAACACATATATTGTAACCCTTACTAAGTGATAGGTGGGGGGGGGGGATAATTTTGATACAGGAGCACCTCTGTAAACATTTCTGATCACTTTTGTCGCGCCCCCATCTTCGGGGAGATTTTGATAACACTTTGCCGACACCAACTGACCCCCCTTTGTGGTTTATTGTTCGCACTACCGACTTTTAAGCAGGAGATGGCGCCCGAGGAATGGCTAACATTCAATAGGACGCGTTTCAAACCTTTTTTGAACCAAAGCGCCCATTCCCGTTGGAGAAAACCCCACACCACCCAACAGAAAAGTCACGATATGAGCGAACGCTGACATGAATGATGATCTTGCCTCAAATTACTCACCCCTTTATTCACTCAGTTTCTAACCTGTGCCTTGAAGCAAAACAGAACAGCTAACCTGCTGGTAAGTAGACGGACGACATCGCACTCTCAATTGAAACGTCACCAGAGCATGGCTGTGTCATTAATCCGTGCCACGGAACAGTCAATGAATGAGCTAGTCCCCCAATGATCACTTTAATTATGTCTGCATTTCCCCCACGTTGAATGTTTAATCAACGTATTTGTTGAAATGTCATTTATTACGAAATGTCACCCCACATAATATCTTCTCTTCGAGTGACACGTGGTGCAACCAGAGTTTTTGTCACCCCGGAAGTCTGTGCGAAGTATTTGCTAGCATTCAGCGGCGCAATCCGCCAACATTGCAAGGAACAAACACGATAAATTGAGTTGCTGATGTAAATTCTTAAAAATGACAAGAATGTCACACATATTGTTTAAGGAGTAGCCACATTATTACAAAAGATAATTATCTTTATGAAGGCATAAAATGTTCATTCCAGAATTGGAGGACAATATGCACCAATATTTTAAAAATGACCCATTGATTAACTTAGCATTTGCAGTATTTTTTTTTCAAGAAAAAAAACATAATATAGTTCAACATGTTATTCCATGCATTAATTGCTGATTGTTTGCTGTATTTTTTGCTGTCAGGGCAAAGCAACAAAAGTAATATTTTAGCATACTAGCTTGATTCTTTTAGGCTAGTATCATAGCAAATCGTATTGATTAGCCTCGTGTAAAGGTGGTTTGTTTGTGTTGAATAATTTACCTACATACAGTTTATGTAACATTGGTTCATGAATGTGTACATGCTAGAGGCCTGAAGTTGATGCTTAAGCGATGAAATATACAGCATTGTTTTAGCATATTAGCATGTTTCTTTTGGGCTATTATCCTAGCAAATCGTATTGATTAGCCTCGTGTAAAGGTTGTTTGTTTTGGTTGAGTAATTTACCCACATACAATTTATGTATTGTTGGTTCATGGATGTGTACATGCTGGATGCCTGAAGTTGATTCTTTATTATCCTTGCCCTTCTCTGTAAATTGATAGTAGCATATATATTATTTTACCCCATGCGTGATGTCACGTCAGTTTGTGCTAACGCGTTATTTCGGCTAGTATGCTAGCTAATACAATTGATGAGCCTCATGTGAAGGTGGTTTGTTGTTGTTCCATAATTGACCTACTGAAAACAGTTGTTTCATTCATATGATTGTATACATACTGGACGCATGAAGTTTCTGCTTTATGATCCTTGGAGTTTGAAGTGCTTTACTTGCTATCTTTTGGCAGCTATACGCAAGTATGTATTCCTTTTCGGGGAGCTAATCAATTATTCACTGATAGTCCAGCGTCCTATTGATACAATTTTTTTTATTGGACCCAGGCCTTGCACTGGTGTCTCAAAAGCTTTTTCCTTCCTTGTGTTTGTGTGCTCACAGTACTTAAATGAAACCAGTGCCGTCTGTAGTCCTACAGTGTGCTCATGCTCTAAATGAGATGCTAACACTCCACCCACGCGTCTTCCTGCTCGCTCTCCTCTCTAGCGAGTGTACATCACGGCATCTATATAACTCACAAACACGGTGGTGTCTCGACTCGAAGAAGAAGACAATACGTCGAGACAATAATTCTTTATTTATAGGAAGAAGACATTACGACTACGTCTACATAACAATTCTTTGTTTATAGTAAGAAGACATTCACGACTAAATAAAGATGCTTTCCCCTTTTTTACTTTAGGCCACAGGTGTCAAAGCCAAGGCCTGGGGGCCAGATCTGGCCCACCACACCATTTTATGTGGCCCCCACCATTCACCAGCTATTAAAACTCACTCTCTCATCATCTTGATTGGATGCTCTTAAATAAAAAAAAAAAAAAAACTGAAGTCTGAATGGTGGTCCAAATAGAAAAGGACTGAAATAAATGCCATGAGTGTAGTTTGAATTGTGGCAGGGGAGGGGCGGGTTACATTCCAAATAACTCTACACAGTTAATGTATAAACTTCTGGCAACAAAAGTGAGTCATTTGATGGTATTGTTTTATTTTGAGCGTGGGGGGGGCATTATTTTCTCAGTATTTTCTGACAGTTCGTGTCCCCTGTGGCACCATGATACCTCTCGCAGGTCAGTCTTGGTACTACACCAGACGTCGCGTTTTGGGGAGGAAACTTTGTGGTCGTTGGAAATACGGTCGTGCTTGTCGAGTGCTGTGTTGGTGATCCCAAGTCAGCAATGAAAGACATAAACGCACATTTGTTTTATGAGTGAAAGTTGTCTTTAAGAAAAGGAAAAAAAAAGTTTCTCCTGTTGATTTGTGTTGCGCCAAAGAACAAACATCAAGTGTTGACATACTATTAACATCCGTAAGGGACATGGAGCGCCTCGGGGCGCTGAAATATCTCCGAGTTGCCATCATCATTTTCTAGCATAGTTTGGAGGGCCTGTGTCATGACAAGGCGTATGATAAACGCGTGATTGATTCAGTATTTTCTTTTGGTGGTGGTGGGGTTGGAGGAGGGCATCCTAGATTTACGGTCTCTGACCGTTGTATTGTTCTTCCTTTGGATCTAAGACGAAATAACAAAAGCAAGAATAATAATAGCATGAAATGAAAACAGGAGAAATCAGGCACATGCATCCAGCCATCCATTACCCGAGCCTCTGATGCGACTTCTCCTCACCAGGGTTGCCGGCGTGCTGAGGCCTTTCCCAGCCATCGAGATGGGGGAGGTGGGGGGGGGGGGGAATTGCTGAACGTAGGAGCTTTTTATCATGAAAGCCAAATTCCTTTCATGTGTTCCAAAAGAGGCTGCTTGTTTATTCTGCCATCAGATCATATTATTAGTCATGGATGCCGGCCGGCTCAGCAATTTCAAACCATTTTTCAAATTGCTTTGAACACCGAAAGGGATGACGACTCATTCGGGAGCATTTAGCTTCTCATCCCAGCACAAAAATGAGGATGACAAAATTGCTTCGTAGTCTACATTGTTGCGGAAGCGCAATCCAGGGGCCTTAAACAGTGTACATTTCCTCCCGAGGAGGATTGTACAGTACACCGGGAAACTTGCCAGCTAAATAAAACACATTTGTCACATCATCCTTTTCATAAATTAATAATATATGACATTAGCATTCATCTCCATCCAGCTTTACCCACAAAAAAAAGCCCACAAGCTGTTTAATGCTCCTCCAAGTTGAAATTTTCAGTCAAACTAAACATAAAAATGAGAGAATTAAACATTTTGTGTTTAAAACGACCATATAACATGGACTCAGAGTCCACTAGCTTAATGCTAACACATAATCTAAAATGGCATCGAAGGCCACGGTGTTGTCAGCCTTGAAACAACAGATATTTGAGCAACATGCATCGGCAGCATCACGGTACTCACAGGCATATCGTCTTTATCCTCTGCGAAAAACGACGACGCCATTTTCTTTTCTGTACGAGCCTTGATCTCGTGACAGAATTTCGTCGCTTTTATCGGGCTTGCGCTCGTGTCACAAAAACATGCATCGGCAGCATCACGGTACTCACAGGCATATCGTCTTTATCCTCTGCGAAAAACGACGACGCCATTTTCTTTTCTGTACGAGCCTTGATCTCGTGACAGAATTTCGTCGCTTTTATCGGGCTTGCGCTCGGTTCACAAAAAAAAAAAAAAAAAAAAAAGTGTTCTCCAAATAAAGCTGAGAAAAAAACTCCATGCTGCAGGGCTTGCACACACGCGCACTGTAAAACAAATATTTGAAGCCAACCAGGCTTATTGACTTCAAACAGTGACGGATAAAGTCAAATGATGGTGAGTTCATTCTTGGCCCCCTTTGGCAAAACACCGCCGAGAGGTGAAAGGCTCGCGAACATTTACACAGCGAACGAGCTGCCCTGCCGTGCGACTCCAACGAGGCCACGAGTGGCATCCTCAATATTGACTTGACGACTGCTCAAAAACAAACGAATCACAACATCACATGAGTGTATTTAGACAAAGCAAAGACATGACGTGACATGGTGGAACTAAGGTCATCTTCAAAGAGATTTCTTCTGCCAGTGTCTGGAACGGTTTGTCCCCGCAACTGCAGTTGTCCTTTTGTCGAAAATACTCGCACGTTTTCAGTGAGTCATGTGCTCTTTTTGTGCTCTTGGAACACTTGTAGACAATTGGATGCT